TTTCGTATTCGAATCTATGATTCATTTAATAAACGATTTGAAGTACCACTTGATGTACCTGTCGTAGAAAAAAAAGTTGATATGACTGATTATGAAGTAAAAGTTGCTCAAAAACCATTTGCTATATTAGTCACTCGAAAATCAACAGGTGTTACATTGTAAGTAATAAGAAAATATTTATAGAGTGTGGGTGTGAGTGAAGATCCGGGTGTCAGGTGAATACAGTACACACATCCACAGCTACACTAACACCCGCATCCACACCCACCCACTAGTGGCGGCGCCAAGGGTGGGCTGAGCCCACTCTGAAATTTTTTCAAATCTTAAAAAAACCAATGATATTCTATTTGAGCCCACCCTAGTCTAAATTCCTAGCGCCACCGCTATCATCCACACCCATTAAAAAGCGAAATTTCATTTCTGATAGTACAGAAAAGTTCTAAGACTAGATTTTCATTCTTCTTTTATTTAGATTCGATTCAAGTTTATCTCCATTGATTTTTGCCGATCAATTCATATCATTTTCTACTCGATTATCAAGTCCATTGCTTTATGGACTGGGTGAACATACACAACCATTATTAATCAATATAACAAACGAATGGAAAAGATTAACATTTTGGACACGTGATATCGGTGTACGACCTGATACCAATCTTTATGGTTGATACACATTTTATTTTTTAAATATTTATTATCGAAAATATTTTTAGGTGTTCATCCATTTCATATCAATCTTGAATTAAATAAGACTGGTCAAACTAATTTTCATGGACAATTTATTCTTAATGCAAATGCTATGGATATGAATCTTCAACCATTACCCGCTCTAACTTATATCACTATTGGTGGTATTATTGATTTGTATGTATTTACTGGACCAACAGTTCAGAATGTCATCCAACAATATTGGGATGTTATTGGCGTAAGAAAAATGAACTATGTGAGATATTCATATCAAATTTTTCTTCTAGAAACCATTAATGCCACCCTATTGGACACTTGGATTTCATTTATGTCGTTGGGGATACGGAACAATTGAAAATTTAACAGAAGTTATGCAAGTAATTTTCCATCTTAGAAATTATTTCGAAAATAGATTATCTATTATATTTGTAGAGAATGCACGATGCTGATTTTCCAGTCGATATTCAATGGACTGATATTGATACAATGGATAATCATCTTGATTTTACTTATGATAACAAAACATTTCATGGTCTTCCTGAACTTGTTCGTACAATGCAATCGGAAGGAAAACATTATATGAATATTATTGATCCAGGTATTAGTTCAACACAACCAGCAGGTACTTATCCACCCTATGATGAAGGATTAATACAAGGTGTTTTCATTACAAAATATAATTCAACTGAGCCAATTGTTGGAGAGGTAATAAAATCAAATCATCTATATTGAAATGAATATTCATTCTTTTTAATTTATCAAAGGTTTGGCCTGGTCCTACTGTTTTTCCTGATTTTACAAATCCTAAAACGGTCGAATGGTGGACTAAATTCCTTGGTGCTTATCATGATATTATTCCAATTGAAGGAATGTGGATTGTAAATATTTTATAATAATTATTTATTCTCTAAAATTTAATTTCAATTCATTGTAGGATATGAATGAACCATCAAATTTTGTCGATGGATCTCATGAAGGATGTACAACTAATTCTTTAGATAATCCACCATATACTCCTCGTATGTTATTTTATTTATTAATAGAAATATAATTCCTAATCTTAATAGATGTGTACGGTGGAAATATTACTGCTAAAACTGTATGTACATCTGCACAACAATATTTATCATCACATTACAATTTACATAGTATGTATGGATATTTTCAAGCAAAAGCAACGAATTCGTAAGGAGTCTTTTTTTTCTTCTAATGAAGTTAATTGTATGCATATGATTATGTTCTAGTGCTCTTCGAACGATTCTTAAAAAACGACCATTTGTTTTATCACGTTCAACATTTGCTGGTTCAGGTCATTATACAACTCATTGGTCTGGTGACAATGCTGCTACATATACAGATCTTTATCGATCTATTCCAAGTAT